TAACTTGCTCCTTGTAAAGGGAAGAAAAATTCCACATATTTTCTATTGACTATGCTACTTGGAGTATGAAACCACTGAGAATTTCTTCAGAAACAGAAAAAGGAGGCAGGGGTGACAACAACTGTGCAGTGAAGTTTTATCCATCAGAGGAGCATTAGTCACTTTGCAGGTGTTAGTTGCCCCTCTTTGAAAGTCTGTTGGCCACACATGTTGCAAAGTATGTGCTTCTCTACCTATAACCTCTATTAGGTACTGCTGTGGGTATTTTTTTGTGGCTGACTGCACATCAGGTTTATGGGAAAGACATTAAATGCCTTTGCTTTTAGCTAATTATATGCTGTGTCCTCCAAAATTAGAACCCATGCTGCCAGCATGCTGTGGCATGGCCCCAAGAGTTTCATTTTATAGTCACAAGGGGTAACCAATCCAAGAATGAGAAGATAGATTGCAGACTATCCAATTGCAGACTTTATCTAAAATACAGCATGTTTCCATATTACTCCTTTAATCCATTATTGGATAGAGTCCTGTACTTAAAGTCAGGTGGAACTGAGGTCAAATCCTGCCTGAGACATTTTTAGTTGTTTGTCCCCGGTATGTCACTTATCCTTTCCCAACCTCAATTTTCTCAACTGTAAAATGAGGTAATTGGATTTAATGGCCTCTATCAAGTCTTCAGACTCTAAATCTATGGTCCTATTCAACTGGCCTGTCTTCTCTGTCTCCTTCTGCCCAGAGGATATGCAGATTCCATTGGGGAAATCTGTTCCATTCCCATCCAGGATAAACTTACATCTTTTTTTCCTTCCCCATCCCACTCCCCCAGTCCCCTATCATGGGATGGCTTTGGTAAGAAAACCCTAGTGTATGGGACTCTGTGCTCTGGCTCAATGGATAGCAAATATAAACCGTATCCTCTTTTTCCTTTTCAGAATGGCAGAATGAATTAAATAGGATGAATCAATATAGATGGGTTTTGATCCATATCATATCTCATTAAATAACCTTTACCCCCAAAAAAGTCCTCTTTCCAAGCTACCATATTTCTGTCTAGGGCATAATTATTCTTGGCTTTCAGGTTCTCAACCTCCTTCTTATCCTTGATTCCTCACTCAATGGAAACTTCTCTCTTCAAAGTTACCAATGAATGATTAATTGTCAAATTGCAATGGCCATTTTTCAGCAAGATTCCTTCTCAATCTCTCTGTAGCATTTGATATCTTCTTTTCTTAGATACTTACTTTCTCCTTTAAGGGCAGCAGAAAATGTATTCCCCTATTAGAATTCATACTTGCACAATGAAAAAAAAATCATGGGAACAGATTTAATAAACTATGTAAATCCTGCAAATGAAGAGTTAAAATGCAACAGAATCTAATTAATTTGTAAGCACAACTGAATGTCACTAGGGAAGATGGAAATTTACTGGCAGAATTTCAATAGAAACCTCTGTATATTTGTCAGGTAGGGTTAAAAATGAGTATCACCACTGAGTTGGTGAAGTCCATAATGCAGTTCTACTTGTTCTGCATGTATTTTTTCTGATATAATAAGCTTTAAAAGCAATTTAAAAATAAACTGAATGTAGAAACAAACTTTCACATTACTGCACAGCAAAGTGCTAAGCCAATATTTTTAAAATATTAAAATATATTCATTTACCTTACTTTCAATAAAATTCCATCATTAACAATATTTTAGTGAAATCAAAAAGGGTTTTATGCCATTAACAAAATATTATAAAATACAATTTCACTTTTATCTCATTATTTTAAATATTTATTTTTGGGAAATTTTATAATATACATACTTATAAATATAGTTTATGCAATATATAATTTTAAAACAGGTTTGGATACTATAGCTGTAGCTGAATTGAAAGGTAAGCATATTTATGGAAGCTCATGAAGTATAATTTTAGTATTGCAAACCCACATATTACCTTGAGCTTGAGATAATCATCCCTTCTCTTCCCTTATATGTATGAGAGTTGGTGGATTGCTTAAGAAGGAGGTGGAGCTTTATAAAGAACTCTAATTCCCATAACATAGAAACACATTTAAATAAGCAAAGAGGAAAGTGCACGTTAAAATGTTGTCTGCCAAAATGCTTGTTTAGCTCCAGTACTAAAATTGTACCCCAATGCTACTATTACATAGAGGTGTCTTTGGTTGTTCAGTCATTTCAGTCATGTCCAATTTTTTGCAAGCCCTTTTTGGGGTTTTCTTGGCAAAAATACTGGAGAGGTTTGTCATTTCCTTCTTCAGCTCATTTTACTAATGAGGAAACTGAGGTACATAGTGTTATGTGATTTGCCCTCAGTTATACAGCTAGTAATGTCTTAGACAAAATTTGAACTCACGTCTTCCTGATTCCAGGCCTGGCACTCTATGCACTGCACCACCTAATTCTCCAAATGCCAATGGAGTACATGCTCTGGCACAGCCTGGCAAGCTCCAGTACCATCTATCGTAGGCCTAGTGTTAGCTTTTATGCCTGCCGTCTGATAGAAGTTAGACTCCTTGCCGGCAGGTACAGTTTTCATTTTTATCTTCTTATACATTGCATCTAACACTGTGTTTAGACAGCTTAATAATTCCCCAAACAGTTTAGTTAAGTTCAGAGGCTTGTCATCCAACTGGCTACAGAATGATGGATTTTTAGCCACAACAACTCTCTAATACCATCTACCAAATCACACAAGATTTATAATTTGTGTTGGTTAAAGGAATAGATGAAACAAAGAAATAACACATACTTCATTGTAGCAACCTAATGCTGCTTTTAAGTTCTGAAAACCTGTTTGGAATTCCTATCTCCTAAAATTAATCCTATGAGTTCTCATCCTTTCTGGGTTTTTTCTCTTGATTCTATATTTATCACATAATACTATATCATAGTGATAAGAAAGAATGATGCACTTTAAAAATTAACTCAAAATAAAATCAGTAAATTAAAAGGGAACTCTCTAAATGTATGTTTTCCAAATCAAATTACTTCCCAAGCCACTGGGGAAGGTTGGAAGGTTGTGAAAGTGGTCTAATTCCAGTTCCATTTCTCTTCTGTCAACTTGACAGAGACTCAGGGGGAAGAAGACTTGACTATTGGATGACCAAAAACATTTCTAGGACTTGACATGTGCATTGCCACTGCTGTTTGCCACAAGACCTCAGAGCCTTGTAGGATCTTCTTGTAATAAGAAAGCTAAAGTCTTGAATAATTTGAAGCAATCATTATTGGTATGAAAGCAATGAGGTCTACCCACAGTGGACAATTCTTCAAGTCCAAAATCTGAGATTACAGGTGGCAAAGGGAAAAATCTAAATGCTAACACACTGCCCACCAGGATGACGTGGGAGAAACCACTTCTCTTGGCTATGGACTTCCTCTACTTTCTTCTCTTCTCTTCCAGGTCCACCTGGAACTGTTTCTTTTTAACTTCCCAACTAAGAATAGCCCCTATATTGTTAATCTGTTTAGGTTTTCCAATAGCAAATGGAATCTCTGTAGTTCCAAAGCTTTATAGGAAGGAAGTAAACTTCACTAAAGTCTCTCTTCAAGTAAAACCTTAATTCGAATATATGTGTGTGTGTGTGTGTGTATGTATGTGTGTGTGTGTGCTTGCGTGCATGCATATATATGTGTGTGTATATTATATATGTATATGTATATATATTTTTGTTTTGAAGACTCTAAAGAGGTTTATCAAGAAGATAAAAATCATTAGTCTATTCAAAATAAAATTTCATAATAAAAGCTAGGACTGATAAATATATATTTATATATTACACCAGAATAACTAGCTCTGCTTTACTCCCCTTTTCTTTCAAAAGAAGACATATATTTTATTAATTAATTTAATTTAATTAATTAATTTTAGTGATTATTAAGATGTATTGAATAAAATATCAACTATAGTTCAATTTAACCACAGTAATTAGCACTCACTAGTCCACAGTAACATTCAGAGTAGTTAATTGAGCATTTAAAATTAAATAATAATGCATTGATTAGACTACTATATAAGCCGAATTTAATGCACTGATCATCATTAGTAATATTAACGATATTACTAGATTTCCCAAATACCTAAAGGTAAATAAGCACTGGTATTTTATTTGTACTAGTAAATTGATATTTATTAATCATTCCACTAAATAATAATAAAGACTAGAATTTCTACAGCACTTTAAAGTTTACAATGTACTTTATGTGTTATCTGGTTTTGTTAATATCTGGCACTCAGAAATGTCAAAGTTTATGAAAAGTTTTATATGTGTTTTCTCATTTGGCCTCATAACAGGCCTTTCAAGTTTTCTACTATATTTAAAAGATGATGAATTATGTGAGAAGTGACTTGGCCAGTGTCACACAGTTAAGTATCAGAAGAAAGATGTGAGCCCAGATCCCCTAACTCCAAGTCCAGCACTCTTATTTGTCAGAGCTCTACCAATTACAATGACATATTTCATAGTAAGAAAATATTGATATCTTCTCAGTTATGTTTTAGGAAAGGACTTTGCTTAAAAGGAAGTAAGGATGTCTTGTTTAGGTAAATTAATCTTCTTATGGAATTATTCTACATTTTAAAGTCTCATTATTAGACATGAGTTTAAGATGTCTTGATAAATTTTCACAATTGAGAGATTTACACAATATGTCATAAACTAAAGACATAGCTTAATAGGATTGAGAGCTAAAAGGAGTTTAAAGTTCATCTAGTCTAACCCTATCATTTTTACAAATGAAGAGTTATATGGATTATTAAATGATTTTAAGTTAAAAAAAGGTAAACTGACTTAATTTTGCCTTTAGATGTTCAAAATGTGATTTTGTTCTATACATTTTAAATAGACTGTTTTCTTCCAAAATACTTGAAGTATAATAATCTGATGACTTCTAGAATTTTCATTTCCTTGTTTAACATGATCTCTCTCTCTCTCTCTCTCTCTCTCTCTCTCTCTCTCTCTCTCTCTCTCTCTCTCTCATTTTTTTTTTAGGCTGAAAGGAATATCTACTTTTGGAGGCATGTCAGTTAATTATTTTCACATGAGATTCATCACTATGACTTCTTGCCCTCTAGAGCTGACCCATCAAGAACCTAACCCCTCCTCAGAGCAGTAAAGCCCTCAGAGATGGAGCACAAGATTTCACTGGAGTACTCTGCATCAATTCATCTGCCTTGAATCCAACAGCCATGAGCTGGAAGCCCTGAAGAAAAGCCACAGCCTTAAGTTTCATTCACTTAAAAATTACTAGGAAGATATAACAAATGAAAAGGACTATAGCAAATTATTTCATGAGATATTACATTTGAGGAAACAAAGTTTTAGCAATTAATCCATGATTTTATTGGGGGTGATAAGTAGAGGGGAGGGAGTCACGCCAAGGAAGAGAAAGCATAAAGGAGATACCTCTAGTTAGAATTACTCCCCAAAAAGAAACTTTCAAAATATGCCAAATGGAAAACTAGAGCACTTACATAATGGTAGTAAAATGTATTGGACGAAAGGATATTGCCGTTTGTGGAGAAAGAAGTTTATTGCCACCCCATGAATAAACTCAAAGCCATAGAGGAACAGCAGTGATGATGCTCAATGCTTGAAAAGATTCTGCATCCAACTCTTCCCACATATTTGAAGACAGGGTTTGGGAAAAGTCAGCTTGTACCGAATGCATCTCAATACACTTCTAATGTTTGCACTGTCAATTCCATTCAGGGTAATGATGTGTGCTGGTATTTGCACAGATGGTCCCATGAGATTTTAGACAGCTAAAAAACTGTTTCTTGTAGATGCTCTGAAAAGGGAATATTGAAAAACTGTGAAGAAAACATTCCTTTTTCTTCATAAGGAGGAGAGGACTTACATTCAGTGAAAATGATCCTTTCTTAAATTTGATAAACCACCACCAACAAAAGTCACCCCCGAAATCCATGTGGTCAAATAAATTACAAAGGGATCAATTATTTTTTTAAATTAAAATCATTTTATATCATAACAATAACCAAGAAGTCAAATTCAATGAACTGGACAGTCCAACATTCTTGCTAAACTTGGACACTGTTCTCCCACTTAACAGTAAAAACAAAAATCATTTTTAATATGTATTTGACATATAAAAGTTTTTATAGCCATTTATCTATGCTTCATGGAAAAATGTAACAAACAGCATTTTCAGTTTATTTTTCTAAATAAATGTGTTGTTTGTATTATTTGCTGTTGCCTATTCAAATTGCTTTTCATTACCCGAAGAATAATTTTCTCTTGAAACACATTACAACTCTTTTGTCATGTTAATTCAGAACAACTGACAGATTGAAACCTCAAACACGGTGTGCCTGTAAAATAGGAATATGTTTCCACTGAAAATCTTAAAGGAAAAAATGAGATATTTTTAACCATAGGTTTCATTTAGAAGGTTATTTTGATATTCATGAAAGATGATGACACTCTTCTACTGGGAGATAATGTTCTTATATTGATGACAGACAACTTAACAAATAGGTTTGGGTTGAGTTCTTATTACAATTTCAGTTTTCAAAACAATACTCTGAATTCCATGGGTTTTCTGATAGGATACAGCAAAGGGTGACAAATAGTATAAAAATGTCAGGTTTCACATATAATTGTTGGCCCTTACAATTACATATAAGCTGCCCAGAGGTCTGTTTACATTTTTCAACACATCTACAGTCATGTTCATAACAGAATGGCTGTTAATTTTTCAATCTATAAATATTTATTGGACATTTGTTTTATTTCTGACTTCTCAGACTATTAGTATTTAAACAGTTAAAACCTTCCATAAGTTGTGGGACATATGAATCACTTTTGCCATAAAAAATAGATCACTGGGATCCCCGTTTCCTGAGTGAGGGCCACTAATATTGTGTTAACTTAAATCCTTTAACATTCTGCAAGTTCCCTTGATGTTTGTGTGGTATACTATAACATGACCAAAAGAATAAATTTGTCATGCATGATTTGATCATTTGTAAACAAAGAACCTATACATGAAAATAATCTGCCATTTTGTATAAGGAACACACATTTCCAGGCCCCATGGGATCTTGGTTATTGAAGCAGGGAAGCATAGGCTGGTTCAAATTATTTTTGAATCTGTTTGGATTGCTTTGGGCTACGAATAATTTTAAACCAATATAGAAGAGTCAAAATCCCTCCAAGCATTTGAAACCAAATCAAAGTAACCAATCAAGAACAATGAAACAAATTGTTTATTCATTTGGGGAATACATTACATATTACACAATGCAATTAAACAAGTAGCCTCTAAAAGCCAAACTTGAAACAAGTAGGACTTAGTGGTCATTCTGTCCTAAATTAAATATCCATAGCATAAATGTATATGGCATATAAGCATCATGGATCTGTTATTTTCTGACTGGTACTTTTTATTACTACTTACATCTGATGAGACTGCATAATTTTAAAATGCCTTTTCTTTCTTTGAATAAACAAATACTATTCATCATCATCCCTCTAAGTAAATGTCATGAAGTAAATAAGTATGTGAAGTTTTATAATTTAAAATCCGACCTTATAGTTTGGATATTACTGAAAGTGACCAACTTAATAACTGCCTAATTAAACAATTAATAGTGCTTTTTATTTAAAGAAAAATCAAGCAGCATGAAGCATATAAACAAAAAGGAAGATGACCTAAACTTAGTATTATTTTATCTTATATAATAGTCATTCACACAAATTGGAATTATACACTTCTGATTCATCGATGACATAAATTCTTAATTTTTCTTTATCTTTTTCTTACTGCTGATTTTCAGTTTCTATACTTCAGAAATCTGCATCTCAAAACATCACTGTCATACTTTTTTTTAAAACTTTTTTCATTTTCTTCCTCACTTTATAATTTTTGTCTAGGGGTGTAGTAGGTGGAATGCTGGGCTCTGAGGAGAAAGAGCTGAGTTGGAATCCTGCCTCAGACACTTTATAGTTATGTGACAAACTCTTTAACTGCTTTGAATATTACATTCCTTATCAGAAAAAATGGAGAAAATAATAGCTCCCACTTCACTGGGTTATTTTGAGGGTCCAACAAGCTGACACATGTAAATTGCTTTGCACAAATTAAAGTACAATTATAAATGTCAACTCTTATTATTGTACAACTTGTTTTTCAAACAAAAATAAATCACATTTGCTCTCAACCATGAAATTTGAAATTCAGCATTTTTCATAATCCAATGCCCAAGGAGTTATCCCACAGTTTCACCAGGATAGGGTATGGGTGCATGAATTAAATTGTCCTGAGTTTTAAAATCAAACTTCTTGCAATCAAAACCAAACCACCTTATCTTTTTTAGGTAAATATCACAAATTGAGTTTCTTCCATATTTGCAGGAATTTCTTCTCTCATTGATGTGGGTATTCCTCCTAAAGATGATGATCCTCTCCTAACTTCACATCCTGCATGACTCTTGCCCATTGTCTCCTGTAAATTCTCCATAAGAGGACCACCAGCCTATAGGCACCTTAGTCTATGCCACCTAATTTTTCATGAGTACATGTAACAGATGATCTTTCCATGGGTATCACTTTATTTTACTACATTTCCCATCCTCTCCTTTTCTGACCATGTATTTCTTTGATGCATTCACATTTTTTAATAATATGCTACAACCGCTTAGTTTTCATCATGTATGTCTTCATTGCTTTTGGACAATATTATGTTAGGGAGGGGAAGGATATACAGCACATTCTATTCAAATATTTACTTATCTTAGCAACTATAAACAGAACAAATGCATATAGAAATGAATATTTTTTTGGTAAAGAGTCTTTATTTAATAAGTACATCATTTTTCTATGGGGGTCAGGGTCAAAGAAATGAGATGGTTGCTCTGAAATTTTAAAAATTTAAGTAACATTTGGACATGATGATTTAAAGCTTGTGGGTCATATTTTTCAAGATTAAAAAAAAACAATTGCTTGGTTTATGACTCTACTCTAGAAATATTTTGTCAGGTTTTCCCTTCTAGTTTATACAATTTAAGAAAAAAATCATTCTAATTATTTAAAAGAAAGGGCTTTCCCTTTATTTGGCATTTCCATAACCAAGCTAACACTTCACTTACAGGGTCAACCTCCAATTGGAGTCACAAAATGCAAGTAAATGTTTACAAACTGCACTGTATTATTTGGGTCAAAAAGATTTTCTACCTCATCCTTTCGTCCTTATTTTGGTTTTACACATAAATAGAGAGGGTTGTGGAAATGGAGGGATGGAAACCTAATCTAGCTATTCAAGTACTTTAGATTAGAAAAAAAAATTCGTTGAGAAACAAAGGCAAAAAAAAAAAGAGGGAAAAAACAAATGCATTCCTAAACTAAAATGCAAGCATTGGCAATGTTATTCAGAGTTGTCTATTTCCTGCCAGAATTTCATATTAGATACAAAATGCACTTAATAATGACTACAAGTATTGGAATGGTTTTGAGATCTTGACAAGAAAACTATAAATTCACAATAATATTATGGTGGGCTAGGGCCCATTAGTGCAGTAGTGAATCAACACTAGTGCCAGAAATATTTCATCTGTCAATTTGCTTATGATTGTGTGGAGGTACTGCTGGCTAATTTTTCTTCTAATTTTGCAAATGTAACTGACATAATTTTGGTCCTAGAGGTTGCTCTTACAGCTTATCTGAAGACTTTCTAACATAGTTTCTAACATAGCTATCTTTGTATTATTGTTGTATTGGCAATCTGTAGACCAAATCAATAATTTTTCTTCATTCTTATGAAAGTAGTGATTTTTCTCCCTGAAAAATATGGACCTTTGCATGGTAAGCAACAAATAGAATAAAGAGGGATTAAATAATATTTTATACACTAGAGATAAGAGTTCATCTTCAGTCGAACTGGTTCTGGGCATTAAAAACTACTTGATGCTGGGAACAAATGGGAAAAATCATATTTATAGCTTAAACCTTAGTAAATACTTTCACCTGAAAAAGTCACAGAACTAAAGTAAAATTCTTGCTGTTGTTGTTTTAACTTTATTTTTTCCCCTCAAACTCTCCAGGTCACTTTGATTCTCCAGTTTCTTTTGTACATGCAAACATGGTCAGTGGTTGTATTCTCCCGTGCAGCACGTATATGAACTTTTAGTAGGAAAACAATAACAACTAAGCACCCCAAATCATTGTGTGGATTAATGTGATTTTTTTTGTTTGTTTGTTTTGTTTTGTTTTGTTTTTTGTTCTGAATCATTTGCTTTTTTTCTCCTATCGGGAAATGCTTTTGAGCTGTTAATAGGAAGTGAAGATCAGAAGTGGGAAAGCCCAGGAGAACCCAGTTTGAAGAGGTAATAAGTGATTTCTTTTCTCTGCAAAGTGCTACTTTGTACATTAAATGATTATGTTAGAAAAAAATTAGATGAAAATTCTACCTTAGGAAAAAAAAAGAAAATTCTACCTTAGGTAACAGAAGATAAAAGAGATGAAAAATGTTACAGAAGATGGAACATTCTTTTAATTATGTTCCCAAGCTTGGAAAATACAATGATTTTGAAACTCTCCACTCTGTGTGTAGTTTCAATAAACATGAGACCCATGTGAGCATTTTCTTTTAAATATGTCATTAAAAGTCTTTCTTTCTGGAATAAAATCAGCCTTTTAATAAAACAAATTATCAATTGTAGTCTAAAATGTGAGATGTGTTCTTCCTTGCAACAATATAAAAATACAGTGATTTTTAGTTTCAAAATGGCTCTTCTCTTCCTCCCCATACCCTTCCCACCAATCCTCACATCTTCCCATAGGGGAAAAATGAGAAGAGAGAAGGAAGTGTAGTGGATAGAGAACTGATCTTGAAGCCTGGAAGATTTAGGTTCAAATATCACCTTTAAAATATGCTGACTGTGTTTCTGAGGAAGTAACTTAACCCTCCTAATGTTCTAGGTGTCTCAGTCTGTCTAAGAATAAATTACAGATAATGAACAGAAAGTGCTGATCTACATTGGAAGAATGAGTTTCCTCACCTGG